ATAAAAAACAATCGAAATAAAAAAAATATAAAAAACTTTATAATTATAGGTCTAAAGGGTTTTTTTGTTTATAACGTGATATTTATATAGCTCTTATTTATTTATTTACCAATTTTCTTAAGTTATTGTAAAATATTTTAAAATAATTATATTTAAACTTGATAATAAAATTTATAATTTGTTGTATTTTTTACACTTGAAAAATCTTCATGAAGAAAAGGCTTATTTTGCAAGATTGCTCTCGATTAAAAAATAATGTTAGAATACAATAAAAATAATGAAGATTCTAATAAGCAGAACTAAATATTTTTGTATATTTTTCTACAATGAGCTAAAACGATATTTATGTACATTTTGTTTGTTTATCAATTTTTTCAAATTGGTGCACAATATTTTGAAATGATCATATTATCTTAACTTAAAATATTAAAAATTTAAAAGATGATAATAAAGTTTATAATTTCTTTTTCACAGAATTTTGTACGTATGCTTTGTTTATCGTGCAGAAAAGGCCTACTTCATGAGGTCGCTTGGATACGCATTATAAGATTTGATGCATTGTTTCACTTCTCAACGAGATTCACAGGTCATTTCTGAATGAATTATAGAGAGAGAGAGAGAGAGAGAGAGAGAGAGAGAGAGAGAGAGAGAGAGAGAAGCGGTGTAATAAATTGCAGAATATATGATCTTCAATATTGATTGCGTGAATACGGCGATGTTTTCCCGGTTTCTCTCTTGGCGGATCTAACGATCCGCCGACCGGATCTGATACAATACGAAAAATATCGCAAAAAAAAATCTCGAGCACGCATATATCACGGACGGCTATCCGTCTTCGATATTTGCATTCCTACTCGGCAATGCACATTCCCTCCCGACTGCCGTCGGTGCTCTGCTCGTACCAGGCCGCACAGCCTGGCACGAACGCTGCACTTCCAAGCCGGGGCCACTTCCTCTCCTCTGCTCTCCTCTCTAGTGCCATCAGCGTCTCTCTCTCCTACTCTCATTGTCTCCCTCTCCCTAATCGAGTAAGCCGCTCTCCTCATCTCTCGCAGGTTCTCTCTCTCTCTCTCTCTCTCTCTCTCTTCTCTGTCTCTCTTTTTCCTTCTCCCCGTCTCTTTCTCTTTCTCTTTCTCTCTCTGGTAGCCTCTCCTCTTACGATGATGAGGCACCCACATACACAGAGCATGGCTTACTTATACACCTTAAGCTCTCTCACCTCCTCCGTTTGCTCTCCTCACTTTCCTTCGCGGATCCAACGATCTGCGGTACGTTTCTGAACGAATGTCGTCGTGGAAAATGATCGATCGACATACATACACATGATCTCACAAATGCCGATCGCTTATTTACGAAGAGGCTGCAATATCGTGAATGCTATTTCAAAAATCGATTGTTCACTTCTGAGAGGTTTTAGAAACGGCGCTCTATTCCGTCACTTTCTCTATTAGCTTCAGCGATCTATAGATTCCTCGTTGGAGTAATGTTACGGTGAAATGAACTAACTATATAAATTAACGAGTAACCGTAAATTAACGAATATCGTCTTGAAACCTCGTACAGTAATTATACTTGTGAGAAATTTCAATAATATTTAAACACGCGCGTTTGCGTTAACGAATATCCGAAAGGTATTTCCGTTTCTCGATGGTAAATCTTTGTGTTCAACGCGACATTTTCTATTTTACATACATATCACACGCTTCATCTAAGCGTGACCGATTTTTTTCTTTTTTAATACATTAATCACAACGTTGTCAGAGCCGATTGCACAGCTGTCGCAGGATCGCTTTCTCGTCCAAGGACAATGTATCAAGGATCCTCCCGCGATGGGAAAGTCTCCGTAAACGGGCCTCGATTGCCATCGCCGCGCGATAGGTCCTTTTACGCGAGGAGATCAGTTTTCCTTTCATAACGCGGAATAAACTTGGAAAATAGATAGATATTCCGTCGTGAGAAGCTCATTAGCTCGAAATAGGACAATCGGAGATTATTCTTTTCTATTCGGCACGTTAACGAGATTTAAACTTATAACTATATAAGTTTCTCAGAATTCAGTTTTTTTACATAAAGATATTAGAAAGTTTTTATCGATGTTCTCTTGTTGTTATAATTATTTATTTATCACAGCTATTTGAATTATCATAGCTATTATAACGGTTATTAAATATATATAACCTTGATCAAAGCATCCTCACAAATTGACGTAAATATTCTGTATCTAAGAAAAAATAAATTAAAGACAGTTTTATTGAAAAATAATATTTATTTTTATATTTTGTTAGCCTTTATTACTCAATTTAGTAAATTGTATTATTTTGTGAGCTTTCTTTTAATTTTTTTTATTATCGCCTTTTTCAAGAAAATACAATAAATTGAAGGTATTCTTATAGCCAAGACTGTTAGTTATTATTTAATTATTATAAGGTTTTCTAGGATATTCTTCAGAATATATAAAACGTCAACTTAGCGTATTAATTATGTTTATTTCGACAACTATTTCAAGTATCTTACCAAACACCATTCCAGATTACAGCTGATTCAACCTCAATAATATTTCGCAATTAGAGTGATCGACTCGCATTCCTGTTATTGCTCAGGAAATGGCAATGTGTCGCGTCGCGTCGCGTATCAACGAATATTCTCAGGAAAATGTAAATGTATTATCATAAATCCGGGTTTCTCTCTTTAAACGATTGACATCTTGGTAGAGGCCGAGGTTTATTATTATCCTCATTATCGCCGATAATTCAAACAACGCATCATCGCCGTTGCGGTTGCGCGATGACGACGCGATATTCGAATATCAATAGATACGCATTTGCATAACGACACTTGTGAAAAATTCCGCGTCGTTATGCAAATTTTCCCCCTTCCCCTTCCGCTCCCCCCCCTCTCTCTACTTTGGTCGATGAACAAAAGTCACCTGCAAACAATAACCGAGACAAGAAACGGTTTTATCGCGCCTTTTCTTATCTCGTCTCGCGGATGCTGCGCAGCAAACTTAAACTTTAACTTCTTTTCAAAGCACTTTTTATCTATTTGGATATACATTTTTATAAATGATTTAAAGTCAATAAATATTGTGTTTTGCCACTTGGACATTATATGTTTATGAAAAAAACGTAATACTTGACTTTAAATCATTTAAATTATTTATAAGCGCAATGTGTATAAATTCACTTATAATCTGCGTACTTTTCTAATTATACCTATTCTTGGTAATTATAAGAGTGGAGATTACCGCGATGACAGGGACGGCTCGCCGTGATCTTAATTTCCACCCACGTACGTTTGGTGTCGCCGTAATGACACTTTCGGGCATTTCCGTTCTCCCGTTTACTTTAGACTGGGTAAAGACAAGAGAAACTTTTGCCTTGTAGTCGGAAATGCCACTACATTGATTTATTCCTCTTATATCGATCGACTTCATTGTGTTACCGATCACGTAAGCATGTTATTGTATAATTAATCAATATGTATTAATGCAAGCACTTTTGCAACTGACATACTAAGCTTTAATAATAGTTCACGATACGTATATTTTTTAACGGAAAACAATTGATCGATTGCCTTTCATTAAGGATAAAAAAAACAACCTTTCATTAAGAATTAAAAGACATTGATTTACACTGATAATTAGAGGAAGAAATTACATCGTAATATTCTTGTCGAGGCGTATACGATATATTTAAAGAACGTGATCAAATCTTTTTACCAACGTGTTATTATTTTTGTTTTTATATCCAATTGAAGGAAAAATTAAATTGTTTCTGGGGTTTTATTTATTCCGATGGAAAATTTAAATATTGTTAGTCTGTTTGTTAACACGATGTCTTAATGAAAGAAAAATTCCAATTGTATAAATGTTTTTGAAATAAAGTGATTTGTATTCCAAAATAAATTTATATTCATAACCGAAGAATTGAAAAGTTCATGGAGTCACAAACTGAGAGTGTGGATATTCGAGACGCATATACTAAATTTTTTTTAATTGGACGTTTAAAAGAATCGATTCTAAATATAGTTTTTTTCGGCCATTATTAATACAGCCATTTCAAAAGAACATTAAGGATAATTATTGATAATAGATATTAACATCACAAAACAACGCCATAAATATAAAACAGATTGTTTTATTATTACGTCTGAATATCTGTTTACAATTTAATTATTTACACAATCTCTTATTTATTGTTAGTTTGGTTTAGAAATTATTCAATTTTCTATTTGTATTGATTCTTATCTCGTGTAATTTTATAGTATTTTGTTTGCAATTTTGATAAGGAAGTAGCATTATGAGTTAAATCAAATATTTTACATATACTAATAAAACTTTAATAAATATTTATGAAAATGTTTATTTGGATCTACTTACTCATTTATTATTTACCTAAAAGCAATTTTACCTGCAGCAAAATATAATCATTTCGCACGAGCCATTATAACCCAAACTATTTGTTGTTTTATTTTTTTGCAATAGTTTCAGCCAACATTTTTTGTCATTTCTCGTTGATTTTTTTAATCGTTTTACATTTTAATAATTTCTGATAGCTTCTATATTGTCAGTATAGCCAAAATATCTTTAAGAATGAATTAAAATAATCATTCTCTAACGGCGCTGAGAGTCAGTGTCTGATTGTATAATTCTACGCGTAACGCACGCGTTTGGCAACACATTTTGCTACACAAATCTAAAATTCCAAGTCTGGAAAGTTGGCTGGTTTCTTGCTGCACAATCACGTTCAATTGTACCTCCCCTCGGAATATCTCGGACGCACCGCGGGCGAGGTGACGAAATAATCGCCGCGCGAAAGTTCATAGGATGAGGATTCGCTCGGGGGGAGGGGGGAAAAAAAGGCCCAGAAGAATCCTATCGTCTGCAACGGTTACACCTAGAAACGGCAGTTCCCCGGCGGCAGGCATTGAACCTTTCACCTATCACGGCAGCAATATCGCTTCCCGGCCGATCCCTTCATGCTCTATGCTTTCTGTTACAGGCGATGGCTGCGGGAATAACATGTTCAGGTGCAACGACGGCAAATGTATACAGTCGATTCTGGTGTGTGATTATCGTGGAGACTGCGACGACAACAGCGACGAAATGCAATCGTGTCGTGAGTATTGGGTTTCTTTCTTTATCTGTCCAGCTTTAAAAATATATACCCAACACAAAGTTTGCACGTTGTTGTGTCTCTCGAGTAGCTCTAAATGATTTTTTAATGTGAACAAATAACTATACGTACAATATATTGTCATTTTTACTTACAATACCAATACGATTAACCATTATGTAATCTCAATTAAAGATGCTTATGTATAAAATATAATCACAAACGTGAAAATTTGAGAGAAAACTAGTCTTAAATTACGTCTCTATTTGATTAAGATCGATTCAGAAACTGCTATTTATGTAATATTGTTTTATGTAATATATTGATATTATATAATGAGTCTTGTTTAAAAAAAAATGCTTCAAAAAAGATAGTACTTTAAGTACAATTATATCTGTAGTATCCAGAAATATTAAGAGAGACGTTTTATAAATTGTCATTTGGCCGCACACTTTGATTGAATATACAGAGAGAGCTCACAAGAAGCTCGAGATCTTTATCATATATAAAAGATTTTTTTATTTTTTCATTATTATATTTATTGAAATAATTTTATTGACGCATTATCTTTTTGCGTGATGAATATATTTCGCAGAACAATCAAAATTTCGGTGAAATTGGAGCACGTCCTGGAATATGAAACTTAATCGGAAAAATATGCTCCACTGTTCGTGCTGATGAATAATTAATGACGAAGTGCTTCGTTAAGTAATAATAAAGAGGGATGCGTGTATAATCCGCAATCGCGCCCGCTGCCCCCATTACGGCTCGCGGTGAAAGAACTTTCAGAATGGAGCCATCGTCTTCATTCAGTTCTCCTGGCCGGCAGGCGTGGATTTACGGTTGCGAAGACCCCGAGACATATACACGTGTATAAAGATTAATTTTGTCACGTAATAGCGCCACAGTATCCGACTGTGTCGTTTTGAAAATTGATGTATTAACCGTCAGAAAGAAATTCGGGAAACGAGTCTCGAACTTTAGGTCAACGTAAATTCTGGTGGAAGAAAACGCTTATCGATAGTTTTAGGTCGAACTTTTTTCTGGGACTGCTCGAATTTCGACCAATCCACGCGATTCGAATTCACTCGAAGCGAATTATGAGGCAGTGCGGCCTTGAAGCAACCGATTTTTGATGCGCGTTTCCTGTTTACGAACGAGGAATGGATTGTCGCGAACTATATATGGTTTACAAATCCCATGCCGGAAGTACACGACGAAAATCCGAGGCTTCCTCTCGGAAGTGCTTAGTCTCTTTGTCCAGCATTTTTTTTCTATGCGGCTGATTACGTGACCGCTTTTGTGATCGCTTCTTATCGTTGGATTTACATTACAGGAAGTGTAATGTAATTCATGTCTCGCGTTATTTTTCCATGCAAGCAAGGACGATTAATGTTTATTTGAGAAGCGAAAGGGAAGAACCTGTCAGATTTGTGAAGCAGAGAAAATTTTAGTATTTAAAATATCTCTTTGGGAATCGTTTTTAAAATCGTTTACAATTATAACGTCAGATCTCCATAAAAATGCGATTTTATAAATAAATAAAATCATTCTTGTGAATCTTGTTTTAAGATTCAATATTTTAAAATTTAAAAGAAAAAATAAATTCTAAAGCTTTTTTCGCCAAAAATTTTGTGTACGCATCATGATACCAAATTACTTTTTAACAATGCATTGCAACTTTTTTGAATCTACATCAATTGATTTATCTTATTATTCTGTGTATAAAAGTATTAAAGTACAATTGTCAAAAAATGAGTATTTACGAAATATTTTATATGTCGAAATAAAATATAAAATATCTTGTAAATTATTCATTAATAAACTTGATTTTTCGAAAATTCTATCTTAAGACCTTTATACACAGAACAAAAAAAATTATATTAGATTAAAAAAAGTCATATAATTTTATTAAAAATAATAGCAATACTATTTAATTTTATCATTATTTGTCCTCCTCTAGACCATACAACTTTTGTCTGATAATTTTTCTAAAAACTGCCGTGTTTCTGACATAAAAATGTATAACATGTTATCTTGCACACCCGGTATATAAAATTAATGTACCATAGTTGAATAAATTATTTTATAGTTATAATATTATGCAACTATAAAAGTTGATTTAACATATACATGTACTAGTTTATTCACTTGTAGATTAATTCTACATGTACAAAATTAGTATACAGGGTGTCCAGTAAATTGCCTGCAATACTTCGGGAGGTGATTTTAAAAGGAAGAAAAAAAAGATATAAACATAGATCCGGAAATAAATCGTTTCCAAGTTATAACCACTTTTATGTTTAAAAAATGTAATTTATTTTCTATAATCATAATTATAATAACAATTATAATTTATAATAATAATCATAATCAGTTATAATAATTCATTTTTGTACCCAGGATTCACCACGTGGAGGCATCCTTGTTTTTATTTTTTTTTAAATTTTTCAATATTTGTAAATGCGATTACATTATCTTTAGAATGAAGGATATACATAAACAGGTATTTAAATCAAGTTTGATCGATTGAATATTAATTGTAATAGTTTGGAAGAATTCAAGTGTTTTTTAAAGAGTTTAGAATTTCTTTGATAGAAGAATAAGGGCTAGCATTCGTGTTGATGGTGGGCATTTTGAACATCTTATTTGATTTGATTTAAATACCTGTTTATGTTTATATTTATTTATTCTAAAAATAATGAAATCGTATTTATAAATATCGAGAAATTGGAAAAAAATTTTTTAAAATTTAAAAGGAGGGATGCCATACGAACTATACCTTCACATAGTAAATGTTAAAAAAAAAAAGAATTATTATGACTAATTATGATCATACATTATTATAAATTATAAAAAATAAATTACAATTTTTTTAACATAAAAGTGGTTATAACTCGGAAACGACTTATTTCCGGACCTACGTTTTATATATATAAACATTTTTTTTTCTTTTTGCCTCCTGAACACCTCCCGAAGTATTGCAGGCGATTTACTGGACACTCTGTATAGTTATTATACCCTTATAATTGTCACCACTATGATTTTTTCTGAGTGCGATACATTACAATTTTTTGAATATATACGCACAAATTTACACATTATTGTACGTACGTATAAAACTTTTATTAGAGATAAAAAAATTTCATCTCTAGCTGCCAATTTATAGAACGATGTTGATTGTTGTAAGAAACCAGAGTATGATCCAAGTTGCATTTAATGTCCTGTGAGCGCGATTGACGTTCCTCTTCAGGATTCGCCATTTGCCTAGGCCATCGCGAAGAGTGACGGTCGTTTGTTATGCGGGTGACAATGCAAAACCGGAAGCAAGGCTGTGACCCTCTTTCGAGGACAGTGTGCAGCGAGGAGTCATCGCGTGTCATTCGATGAAACGGATCCACTGGCACGATTGTATCTCGCTTTGCGTGGAATCGGTCCCAATTCCGCACTGGACAACTTTCTCCTCCAATATTTATCCCTCTCCATCCCGCCAATTACTTCTTCGTAGGCATCTATTACAACTAATCTTGTTTCCGAGTCCAGTTTAACTCTAACATCTCGAAATTGACTTAATGGATACCTACATTATCTTACTGGAGCCGTTGAAAGCGGGAATGAATGAAGCTCTGCTAAATAATTTGTCAACGCCAACGAAATTCTATCTCTGGAATGAAGTGTCTTAATATAAATTGTCGATCGTGTATATGTTATTTAGGGAAAGACAGTGTTAAAGCTCGGCGCGGCAGCGCTGATTGCCGTGCCATCCGGTATTAAACGATCGAGGGTGCCTCCCTCGAGATCGCCCGGCGAATCGACGACCGGCCGATTATACTCGCGCGCAATTATAGCGTGCAATCTGCGTTCTCGCGCGTTCCACGAACGGTTTTTCGCGTGTTGCACGTCGCGCAGGCCGTTGTCGCCGGCGATCTCTTCAGAAATTCAGCACGGCATCTCCGAGTTCCTCTTTGTATTGGTTCCCGAACGAAAGAATGCTCGATAAATATTTAAAGAGGGGTGCTTCTCGTGTTTAAAGTATTCCGCTAAGTGTTCTTGACAATAGAATCGGTTGAAGATAGTTTTCAGATCTGAAAATGTTTTGTATGCATTTAAATAATTCATGAGTCAAATCTTTGACAGATTATTATCATGATTGATACGATCATTGGGTGTAGAGGTCAATCGACACTTGCTCCTCGTACAATTTTAGCTCTTTACCAATTATTTAGATCATCTAGATGTTTTTATTGCATCCTGGTCAAAGATTTATCATCTCTAACGCGATGAATAGTTTTTTGATCAAACAGCGGGACATTTTTATCAGGAAGCTATTTAAGATAATTTTAACGCATAAATGATTAAGTTTCTATCCTATCTCAATATTTTTACCGACGTAAAATTTTAATTTAATTTTTTATTAATTTGTATAAATACATATATATGTATATATAGTTTAATTTATAATATATAATTTATTAATTTTTTTAAATTGGATTTCAGCGCCGCCCGATTGCGACATCGGCCAGATCACGTGTGGTCAGTACAGTTTCAACAAAACGTACTGTATACCACCGCATCAACGATGTGATATGACCGTCGATTGCGTCGATGGTACTGATGAAGACGGCTGTAGTGAGTACAAATTGCAATCATCTTTGTCAACGTCAACCTTTTCTGTTTGCCTCTATCTCGTATCGCGTATGACGTCAGACGTAGAAAAATTATATATTCTCACGTAGCGTAATTTATACTAATGCCTACCTTCCGAAGGCACATCAGTGCTTTTTACATGCGCTCTTTGGTGAAAAAAGTCCTCATAATATTTCTTAGTGTCACATAATACCTATAATTTCTTCATATTTTAGATTTATGAAGATTTATATTTTAAATTTATGAAGATTTCTGAAAAATATCTTAAACTTCATTCAAATGTTATAAATTTGCTTCGAAAAAATTATAGAAAGACAAGTCATAGAAATATTATGGCATATTTTAGTATTCACATATAAGTATAAAGAATTTTAGAAAAGTTGTAGATTTTCTCAACATTTCTGAAGTGTTCTAATTCTTATGAAAAAATTATGAAATAAATTATGCAGAAATTGTGAAAAATTCTGAAAAATTATATATGAAGATTTAAAAGAAACATTTTTATCAGGAATCTTCATCTACTTTTGTTAAAAACTTTATCTTGCTGATTTATAAGTATTATTGTTTTCTTTACTCAGTAAATTACTATATCAGTCTGTATCAATTAAAAACTAATCTTTGGATCAAGAATACAGAAGATTCATTGCAATTATATTATTTCGCGTGAAACTAACAGTTTTGAATAATTTTACAGTTATATTTCTCTCTTTTTCCCTTTCCCTTTCACGAATAATGCACGAAAAGTAAATGTTAGTAGTAAATGTAAGTGACTTCAGGAATATCAACTGCGTATATCATTTAAATGGTATATTAATTTTTGCGGATAGACTGTACCAAAAGACACTAAAGTGATAACTTTATCTCGTCAGTGACAAGGCCGCTCGCATAAGAGCATGGCTAAGTAGCAGCTGCGCAGCGATTAGGCATTCTTCACGCTAGGATTCACTAAATTATCGCGCTGTCACGATAACACGCGTTGCACATTGTTAAATCAGCGACATTACGCTGGCTGAAGTTATAAAAAGATGATATTTGTAAACAAACCGATAACGTTTTCCTTTCTTTTATACTGCGGCCTTTCTGCTGTCAAAACTTTTATGTCATTTATAATCACTGTATTCAGAGAAAAACATAATGATAGCAATTATAAAGATGACAGCTATACTGGACAAGTTTTATGTATAAAATTAACGTTAGTTGAATAAACTAAATGTATGTATGAATGAATAAACTGTTTTATTATTATATTTTTATTTACTATTACTTATTATTTAATTGCAACAACTATAAAATATATATAAAACTTGTACAGTTGTCACCATTATAGTTGCCATCACTATCTTTTTCCTATGACTTTTTGAATCGTAATATCCCATTTAATAAATTCTTGGAAAATATTTCAATTGATTATCTTGTCCTGATAATCAATATCGTAATTAGAAGATTTCTAAGAGTTGAATATTATTAAACTCGTGAAATTTATATTTATTCGAACATGTAAGTGATTATAATTTTATTATTAGTATTTTTCGTATCCTCCAATTTATTTCAAAAGAACACGGAAAAGAAAAATATTTTAGATTAAAACAAATTGTACCTTATTAAAACATTTCGTAGTTAAATTGAGTGTGACTTAAAAAAAAAGTCCACTCGGTCCCTCGTCTCGCTTCTTCTTCGCTACCTCTCTTATCTTAATATCGCACGAACCAAGCGAGAAAAATCACGTTCCGGATTACCATATCGGGCTCATTCCGCGTATTTATCAACGGCACGAACGTGTTGCACTATAGGCGATCGTCAAGATACGGTCGCACATTATTATGTGCAGCTAATGCGTTCGAGTTATTACGCGAAGTCATTTGGCCACCAAAAGCGTGTTCAACTCCGGATCGCCTTTTGATGCACGTTATGTAAAAGCGACGTATGCTGTTTCATTTGTCACGTTTTCCGTTTGCAAGCGCGGACTGGAAATGTTTTTCTCGGAAATTTATTGTAAAAAGGCGTACATATACACATTATACACGCATACAATATATACGTTTAAACGCTTCAATCCTTTGCAGATTTAATAATGATCGTCGCATTATGAAATAATTTCTTACGAATCTAAATATACTGAAGATCAACTTCGTATCGATTTTATTATGTAACGTATCGTGAGAAAAAAAATTTGCAAGAGCGATGGAACATAAGGGACTCAACTCGTGTGTTGCAGCATACAGGAAGTGCCAACCAGATGACTTCAGGTGCGTTGGAACCACACCGGAACTTTGCATACCCAAAGAAAAGAAGTGCGACGGTTATCTGGACTGCCGGAACGGCAGGGATGAGGAGAGATGCGAAAATAATATGAAGCCGGCCTGCCGATTGGATCAATTCAGGTGCAATACCACGCAACGCTGCGTCGAGCAGAGTGCGAGGTGCAATTATTGGGACGACTGTGGTGACAACAGCGACGAGGAACACTGCAGTAAGTTCGCGATTTTGCAATGTGTCCATTCGATGCTTTACGGTTTATCCCTTTGGCTATCATTACATTCAAATGAATACAATTTAAAATACATAAATAAGAGAGTTATGCTCCGAGTTGGTAAAACAATTAACAGAAAATGAAGAACGCCCTTTGGAGCTCATTTGAATGTTAAAATGAAGACCATCCATACCAAAATTCATTCGATTGTTCGCTCTTCACGTTCTTCTTTAATCTGTTTAACTATATAAAGAAATATTACATATCTATTACTACCAAGAATGAGGGAGCGAATATGACTCACGAAGCATGCGATTATTGTAACTGTTTACACTGAGCGATGTAATCCATATCACCGAATCATTCCGCACTGAAATGGATCCAAACCTACGGTCGAAACGTATGCGATTTTAATGTTTTTTAAATATTTACAAAAGAAATTTGTCTACTCGCTTCAATTACTGCGTTTGCCAAAGGGCATCCTCCATTTTCTGTTAATACAATTTAACTTTTTCTTCCTTTCATTAATTACTCTCATTTATACTATGCCAAGTTATTAGAAGATTTTTTATGGATGCATGTATTACACGGAAAAAAATTATTGTTGCCACAACGTAATAATTGTGATAATTTTTGCCAATCAATTTAAAAGAGTTATAGGAACTAAAATACTTTGGAAGTGACTTATATAGTTAACTGAACTCTCAGTCTCAATGTTGTGACGTGCAACTATATCATATATATCTCTCAATCAGACTATTTGTTGTGCAAACCACATTAGAGAAATAACAATAATGGTTCGGTTGAGGCAACCATATACATATATGAAGATATTCAAACGGAATATTATTTATCCTAAGCACTATGATTGTGAGAACTGTACTGATGAGCATATCTTAACAGATGTATGCCATGTAACATCAATATAACTTAAATTCACGTGCATTTCTTTTCCAAGCATAGAGAATGTTGTTGTAACATCCATAGCAATTTTTTCCGTGTATTTATAAAAATAAAGCTTAAATCGCGATAGTTCCTACAAATAATGTGAATAAGATTTTCTCGATGTATGTACATTTCAAGTGATTGAAAGGACATGGGTAAAATAGGCTGATTTCTGCCTAAAATGTGTAACATAAACTATTGATGTAATCTTACAGTTTCTGACTCGTAAAGTTTACAGTTTTGTCTGAATTTTCGTGAGAAAATAGTCAAAATTTTCAAAAAAACATGAAATAAGTTCTTTACTCATAGTAAATATAGTTAGTGATATTTTGTTCCAATTATGCAATTATTTGTATTGTAATTTATTTCTATAACTTTTTAAAATTATTTAAGAAAAATATTTTAATGGCGGTTTGGCGAAAGATATATAAGTATTCGATTCTAGCATATTTCTGATATATATGAATGAAAGTTCTTAACGCAGAACGTTACACGCGCGATCGGCCGAACTGTCATCGAGATATGTTTCTAAAGTAATGTGTAATTTAATGTTTTTAATTTTTAACAAAAAAGTTATAGAAACAAACTATAATATAAATTATTAAATAATTTGAACAAAATATTACTAACTTAATATATTATATTATTAGAGAATAATATATATTATATAGAGAAAACTTATTTCGACTTCTTTAAGACTAATTTTGATCACTTTCCCACGTGTTTAGATAAACAAAATTGATACTATTGTATTCAGCGAATCAAAATTATAAGATCACATGTATAATTTATAACACATTTTTTAGGCAGTAATCGACCTATTTTATTTGAAACTATCATTCTTTACTTTTTCTTTCTATGTGTTTTTTCGTTTCGTTTTCGTTAATTTTCTCTACCTGAAAAAAATTGTTATGATTGTTACAACAATATTTCCTATATTTGAAAAAGAAATGTATGTAAATTTAAAAGTGATATTGATGTTGGATCGAATACATCTGTTAAGATTGTCCATCATTATGGTTTTTACAACCATAGTTTTTATTGTTAGGACAAATAACATTTGGTTAGAATATCCTCATATATGGTTGCCTCAACCGAAAGATTATTGTTGTCTCGTTAACATGGTTTGCAGAACAAATAGTAGATGATAGCCATGTAGGATATATGCGGTGCAGTTGCATGATACAGCTGGTAATAACTGAGAAGTCAGTTCCATTGCAGCAGTATTACCTGTACCACATATATTACCTATACTTGCGAAGAACAAATAAATTGTGTTACACACACACACACACACACAAAAGCAACGAGTGCATGTTACAAGCAAGTGTATTATATTTATTAGCGGGGAATTGCTGAACAATCTAAGATATACGTCCTTATCTTAATTATCTCGTTATTAGATAAGGCAGTATCAACTATAATAATCGACTGAAAAGTGCATTGTAAAATTTGATCGATATCTGACACTTTCAAATTCTTGTAGATGTTTATCAACGCTAAGGAATAACTCCGTAATATATAGTTTTCATACAGATAAAGATATTGTAAGTGCCATCTAAGATAGGATAACATCATAACATGTATATAACTAATGTATATAACATGCATATAACATGTATATAGTTGCAGACACAATTTTTAGAGATAATAATTACGTTTGTAATCCATATATAACACATATAGAAACTATACCCTCATTAAGATTGAGGCAAATATATAGGCCACTTCCAGAGTATTATGGTTCCTATTTTGTTAGATGAGTGAAAAATATCATGTAGGAGTTTTATCTTTTTATTTCTCATACTTATATTTTATTTATACGGTTGTTTGATTCTTTTAAAAAGCGCAGTTCCTAATCCCTATCCGTAAAGGTACCTAGACTCATGGGCGCGTTATTAATTGATGCGCGCGTCACGCGTCATAATTTATAACAATTTTTTTTTGTCGGAAGCAGTTACAATTTTTGGTCCTCACTAGGGTATGAACTTTTGAACAAAATTTTTTTTAAACAAAAAATTTGGCGACAAATGCGATGACACGCTTTTGCAGTTGGATAAATTCAACTGTAAACACGTCAAACGCGACAGTGCTAGAAGTCACTACCCAGGTAGAAATGATCGGTCTGTAGACCTCGATTCGATGTTTCTACTTAACATTGATTCGATATTTGTAGACATCTATGGACCGATTATTTGTGCCTTGGTATACATTAATCTAGTTATTTCTCAAATGACGCGCCCATGAGTATAGATACCTTAAGCATCTATTAATAAGCGTCTTCAAGGTTGCGTTCAGAAACTTCGCCCAGGTACATCTAGATATCATTTTATCCTTGTTTAACATTCGGTGAATAACAAGGATAACATGATATACCATAAATTCCTGAACGCAGTCCAGCGCTCTGCTTCTAGAATGATTGTTTTTGAGCGAGCGTGCAACCGTTGAAAGCAGTATTACAATTTTTTTTTTGCCTTAAATATTTTAAATATATTACTTTTGTTAACTAAAAGTGCCGTGGACTGTATTCTTCTACAATTATTATTATTCTGTTGTGACAATCTTACCTCTTTTTCTCTGTATATCAATACGATATTAGGAAGCGTCTTTTAACAGGTACGACGTTATTATTCATGAAAATAAAGTAAATCGCTTAAGTCGCAAATAGTTTTTACAAAAATAATGTTAATAATTTTCTTGATGATGCATAGATTAAAATTTTATTTTATTTCCTTCCATTGATTTCCCTAATTTTAATTATATCAAGTTATCAAAAAATATTTTTGGCGATCTGATGTACATACAAAATTAAAACATAAATCGTGACAAAGTTCGTACAAATAAAATTAAGTTAATGAGGGATTTTCTTGTCCAGGTTTTCCACCTTGCACTAGTGAACAGTTCCGATGCGCCAATGCTCTCTGCGTTCCCATAGCATATCAATGCGATGGTTATAAAGACTGCCACGATGGTTCCGACGAGAAGTCCTGCACAATGACAGTCTGTCCAGGCAACAAGTTTATGTGTCCGAAAGGTGCATCGGATGGAAAGCCATTATGCATCAATCGATCTCAGCTGTGTGATGAAAAACAGGATTGCGAGGACGGGGCGGACGAGGAAGCCGCGTGTTGTAAGTGCAATTTAATATCATATGCTTAATTGCAACAGTAAACGCAAAAAGTTTATACGATCGTATATTTAATTGTTACGTCTTTTTTCTTAAAATAACATTAGAGCATCAATAACATCGTTACGTAAAATATTTCGTGAGCTTACATAACAATGATCATTAGTGGTTATATAAGCTTAATTTGTAGCAATTATGAAGTAATTTAATTAATATACACAACAAAACAAACAAAAACATGGCGTGTCAAAAATTCCATCGAGCAATAATGACCTATTGCTAGTTAATGTTTTGGAATATAAATGTCTAGATAATTTAAAATATAGATTTCATGTTTTAATTTATATACTAAATGTAGAATATAGAATATAGATTTATAGATTCAGATTCAGATTAGAAGATGTTTATATGTATAAAGAGATGAAATTTCTTTATCATATAGCGACGAGCATGTGCGGCTCACTTGGTTGCCAACATAAATGTCAAGCATCTCCCACTGGAGGGACCTGTTATTGCCCCGAAGGAAGAATCCTTGCTAATGATTCGCGAACCTGCGTTGGTAAGTTATTCGACTTGTAAACTGAAATTTTTAGTGTCCAATGTACAATGATTTCTCATGTCTAATAATGCAACAATTGCAGAATCCTAAATTTAAAAAATTTGGTGTCCAATGCACAATGATTTCTCATGTCTAATAATGCAACAATTGCAGAATCCTAAATTAAAAAAATTAAAAAAATTTACTAAAAAACCGATAAATTGATTTAGGCTAATAAACGAGCAAAAAATTTTTGATTCATATAAGTCAATATACTTTAAGTTTAACAAAAATTCGCAAGACGTTTCGACCTGACTTGGTTCTCTTCAGTCATCTTATAAGTTAATATATTAAATCAAAAATTTTTTGCTCGTTTATTAGCCTAAATTAATTTACCTATTTTTAAAAATACGAGCGGTAATCTTTATTACTAAAAGAAATAAATAAAATTCATTTTTTATATCGTTTCTCCCGCGTCGTTCATCAGACTTTTCTTTTTGCAGATCGAGACGAGTGCTCCGAATTCGGCTTTTGCGAACAGCTGTGTGAGAACACTGACGGCTGGTACACGTGTCACTGCGCGCCCGGCTACATTCTTCATGGTCACAACAAGTGTCGCGCCCAGAACATCTCGGTCCTGGAGCTTCTACTCGCGCAGGATCGCGCGATATGGCGTTTGAGCGCGACCGGCGAGGACCGGAAGATAATCGCGAACACCACGGGCGCGAGCGGAGTGGATTATCTGTATTCGCGAAATCTGATCTTCTGGAGCGACATGAAGACGCGGAAGGTTCACTCGGAATCCCTCAACGTCGGTAGCGATACGCCAGCCAAGGTTGACATCAGTATGGCGGGCTCCTGGGGACCCGTGTCGATCGCGATAGATTGGATCGGTGACAAGCTCTACGTGGCGGACTCCATCGTGCAAAAAGTGGACGTATTCGAACTGGATGGACGTTATCACGGGATCGTGGTGGGTTCGAATCTCACCAGCCCGACCGACATCGCGCTGGATCCCACGCGGGGCATCATGTTCATTGCCGACAGCAAGCAGGTCCTACGCACCAACATGGACGGCACTAACGCGTTCCCCGTCGTCTCCGAAGCAGCCTACAAGGTCTCCGGCGTGGCTGTTGACATCATCGTCAAGCGGATCTACTGGTGTGACTCACTGTTGGACTACATCGAAACGGCGGACTACAGAGGTCACAACAGGGTGATGATTCTCAGAGGTTCCCCTCAAGTGCCATCCGCAATCAGACTTACTCTTTTCGAGAACAGGATATTCTGGACGGACGGCACAAAACAAGCCGTCATGAGCGTCGACAAGACTCAGGGAGATTATTCCATCCAAAGTGTATTTAAGGTATCGAATACGACAACCAAGTATTTCAATTTCGTGAAGATATTTACGTTTCAGAGCTGTGGAACAGAAACGAAAGTCAACCTGATCAATTTCTATTACAATAATTTGATCAATTGATATATTTTTCTTCAATTAATTAATGATATTATACCATGTTGTTTAATACAAAACATTTTTCTAAACAGCTTTGAGCAAATTTATGAGATGAAGAATTTTCATTAGGTTCATATCGTGATGTTTGTAATTCTTCTTTAAGGTACGCGACGCCAAAGCTATAAAAGCCTTGCATCCACTCGTGCAACCTAGCGTCTCAAATCCTTGTGGCAATAATAACGGCGGCTGTCAACACATGTGCATCGTCACAGCTTCCAGCGATCAAAACAATCGATTAGGCTATCGCTGCGCTTGCCACATTGGATGGCGATTGGCAAGCGACATGAGGAACTGCAACTTGGTTCAAGAGTTTCTCATGTATTCGCAGCAGAGGTTCATTAAAGGCCGCGTACTCAATCCTGTAATGGAAGGCTTTAGCGATGCTATCCTACCGGTAGTATCTAGACGGGCACGATTCGTTGGACTTGATTACGACGCACACGACCAATATATCTATTACAGCGACGTTCTTCAGGACGTTATATACAGGGTACATCAGAACGCGACCGGACGCGAAATCGTCCTGGCTAGTCAGAATGAAGGGGTGGAAGGGCTCGCGGTTGATTGGGCCGCGAAGAACTTGTACTACATCGATTCGCGTAAAGGTTCGTTGATGGCGAAGTCTCATTGACTTTTTTTAAACCATTAATCTTTAATTCAAATTGATTCGTATGAGTTTTATTAATTTTTTGATTAATAAAGAAGAAATGAATTGAAAATTATAAGTTTCAAAAAAATAAACAGCAAGGTCTGTCTAGTCCAAAAAATAAAATTTGTCTGTTTTCTCAGGTACATTAAACGTGCTCAGCACTCGGAATGTCACATATCGGCGGACATTATTGAAGAATCTGAAGCGTCCTCGCGCGATCGTAATCCATCCGAACCAGGGTTACATCTTTTTCTCTGAATGGGATCGTCCGGCCAACATTAGCAGGGCTCACGCTGACGGTTCCAACCTGGTCGTCTTCAGAAATCTAACTCTAGGTTGGCCAAATGGACTGGCGATCGATTTTATCGAAGATCGATTGTACTGGTGTGACGCTCTGTTGGATCACGTGCAGCATTCGAACCTGGACGGCACGGATGTGCGAACGGTGAACTCCCGACTGATACGACATCCGTTTTCCATCGCAATCCACGAGAGCTGGATGTATATCACTGATTGGCGTCTTGACGCCATTATTCGGTTGCATAAAGAGACTGGTGAGCAGGAAGCTATTCTGGTCCGTGAACCCGCTACCAACAGACTTTACGGCGTGAAAGTCTTCAGCCGTGATATTCAGAAAACGACAAGCAATCATCCTTGTACCATTAATAATGGCGACTGCGAAAAACTTTGCTTTGCTATTCCGGATAACTCCTCACGCTCCGACATCATGTTTCCGGGTATGCAACCCACACCGAAGCTCACTCAAGTATGTGGATGTCCTTATGGAGAACGTCTTCAGAGTAATGGTAGGAGCTGCGCAGCGGATCCTGATGGAGAACCGCCTTTGCAAGCGTGTCCACATACTTGGGATTTCACTTGCGCAAATCAGCGGTATGTGTTAACTTGACTTTTTCATGATAATTGAAGCTAATGATTTACGATCAACATTTGTAACAAAATTTTTCAAAAAGATTCAGAAGCTATACAAATTTAATTTATAAATATATCGATTATAATTTAGTACTAGGTATTATATATTTCGAATAGCACACAGTTCATTCTAGAAATAAAAAACTAACACGATTTTTTGGTCAACATATTTCATATTCGATTAACCCTAGACTACTACACCATATTTGCCACCCAAATCTACCATACTGGGTAAAATTTACTCGGTCTACTTATTTTGTTTCGTAACTTCGGTTCAAACGCATCGATTTAGAACTTTTTTTTTAAATCTATACGCTAGACAGTAAGAAAGGTGACTGAATAGATAGTAACATTTAAAGATCTTAAAGATATGAACAATTTGCAAAAATGTAAATCAGTTTTTATATCTTTTCTGAAAAAAGCTGATTTTTCTTTTACATCGCAATTCTCTTCAGAGGCGAATAAAAAAAGTAAAGCATAGTTTCTAAAAGAACATGAGTGGTATTTTCCAAAGAAAAATACCTCATATGGCTTCACTTTAAAAAACATTTATTTGACCGAGTGAACTAGACCGATTATCGAATTTTACGCGGCTTATGATGGAAGGTTGTAGAAGACACTTGTAAGTCCCCCCCCCCCACATCGTGACCCTACTTCTTCAACCCTGTCGGAATGGCACGTACTTCAAAAATGGTCCGGGTAAATTTTACCCAGGTGTGGTAGTCTAGGATTAAGGGGAAGTCTCGTCTCCTAGACAAACTTAAAAAAGTATTTATTATTAAATAAAATTAGATTTTTGCAAATTTGCTTAAAATTTAAATATTTTATTTCTTAATCGATCTATTTTCAGATGTGTCCCGAAATCCTGGGTATGCGACGGTGAAAATGATTGTCTCGACAACAGTGACGAAATGCAAAACTGCACAAAACCAACGTGCAGCGCAAACGAGTTCCAATGCAAATCAGGTCGTTGCGTACCGATGACGTTCCATTGCGATTCTGAGAACGATTGTGGCGATTACAGTGATGAGATGGGTTGCCCGAACGTCACCTGCAGCGCAAATCAGTTCGCTTGCGCCAATAATCGCTGCATCCCCGCAACATGGAAGTGCGATTCCGAGAACGACTGCGGCGACAGTTCCGACGAGGGCGAGTTTTGCGCAGCAAAAACTTGCTCGTACTTCCAATTTACTTGTCCGCGCTCCGGTCACTGTATACCACAATCCTGGGTATGCGATGGCGACAGCGATTGCTTCGATCAACAGGATGAGATGGATTGCCCGCCGGTTACTTGCCTCAGCACGCAATTCACGTGCGCGGATCAAAAGATGTGTGTCTTAGCATCGTATAAGTGCGATGGCATCAGTGATTGCAATGACGGGTCAGACGAAGTGGGCTGCCCGTCATTGGCGCCGGATCAGTGTAACACTGACAAACAGTTCCAATGTGTCAGTTCCGCTATCTGCATACCGAGAAGCTGGTACTGCGACGGTACCGCGGATTGTCCGGACAAGTCCGATGAACCGGAATCATGCGGAAAGGTCGACTGCCAGACTGGATTTTTCAGGTTTCCTGTATTCTTTAATTAAACTTTCTTGCATGCGTTTCTTAAGGAAGCATAGGCGATAGAGATGTACATACATACATCTTATTCTCGTTCAATTCATTGATATCTAATTTGATGTGTTCCTCAGATGCCGAAACGAGAGATGCGTGTTCAAGGCATACATCTGTGACGGAAAAGACGATTGCGGAGATGGATCCGACGAAGACACCGAACTGCACGCATGCGGTCCTCCCGCGTTCAAGTGCGATTCCCAACAATGGAAGTGTCCGGGCATAACGAATCGTTGCGTGAATACGACCAGCGTATGCGACGGCAAGTCAGATTGTCCCAATGGAGCGGACGAGGGACCCGCTTGTGATTCCGCCGAATGCAGCCATCAAGGTGGATTATGTACCAACGGTTGTATCCAAACTCCGTACGGTGCGCAATGCACCTGTCCGGCTGGCGAGGAACTCAGCAGCGACAGCTTGACATGTCAAGACCTGAACGAATGCGAACCGCAGGGAAGATGCTCGCAGACATGCGTGAACACGAAGGGCAGCTATTATTGTGGCTGCGTGGATGGTTATACGTTAGACGCGGATAAGCATACGTGCAAGGCATTCAATCACAGCGCTGCGTTTTTGATTATCTCTAACAGGCATACCATTCTAGTGGCTGATCTTCAGGATCAGGCGCTGGAACGAGTTCCTATCAACGTGGAAAACGTTGTGGCAACCGCCAGTAATATGCACACAGGCACTATCTTTTGGTCGGACATGAAGCTGAAGCGAATCTCGCGGTTAGATCGCGGTAGTGATCCTCAAGATATTATCAGTACCGGTTTAGACCTGGTGGAAGGTCTAGCCTACGACTGGATAGGCCAGAATCTGTATTGGTTAGACTCAAAGCTAAATACAATCGAAGTGGCTAAGGAGACTGGGGTTGGCAGAATGATTCTCGTCAAGGAGAATATTACGCAGCCACGTGGAATGTGTTTGGATCCCAGTCCAGGTGCGAGATGGCTTTTCTGGACTGACTGGGGTGAAAATCCTAGAATCGAAAGAATTGGAATGGACGGCACCAATCGATCGACTATCATCAGTACAAAGATTTATTGGCCTAACGGTCTAGCGCTAGATATCGCAACTCGTAGGATATATTTTGCAGATAGCAAGCTAGACTTCATCGATACTTGTCTCTATGACGGCAGCAAGAGACTTCAGGTTCTAGCCAGCTCGCACTATCTCCTGCATCCCCATTCGCTTACTCTCTTCGAGGACACTATGTATTGGACTGATCGGCAGCTCAATCGCGTACTATCCGCACACAAGTTCAAGGGTTCTAATCAGACGGTGGTGTCGCATCTAATTTCGCAGCCTCTTTCCATACACGTACATCACGCAGTACTACAACCAATCACTGCGAATCCTTGCGCTAACACTTCCTGTGAACATCTATGTCTCCTATCGCCCAGTAATCCAAAAGGATACAATTGCAAATGCCAGGTAAGTGATTTTATACATTACAAACATATCGGGAATTCTATTTGTCTAGATTGAATAATTTTTTTTTCGTGTTTGATCCCAGGTTGGATTTAAATTATTGTCTGATGGACGTTGCATGGAAGAGGAAACGCCATATTTAATGGTTCTTCGAGGTTCTCAAATCGTTGATGTTTCTTTGACGCCTAAAGAAACAAAGACTGGATACATCACGCCTATCGTAGGTGTGGAAGGTGGAAGATTTATCGAGTATGACAGAAGGGACCGTATTATTTACTGGTTGCAAGGTAAAATATTTATTTTTTAAGTATACTTTTTGTTTTTCAAAGTCTTTTCAAGATTCTAGATTCTTCAAGTTTTAAAAGAGAATTTAATTATTTATTAATTTTATTATTTACATCAGGCAAAGATGGCGACAATGAGAATGGTACGATTTATTCTATTCCCTATAACGGCGGCAACCGAACGGAGTTTCCGAATCCTGCGGGCGATACCGGCATCGTCGGTTCACCATCCACTATGGCGCTGGATTGGCTTGGACGTAATATGTTTATCGGCAACAAATTCGCATCCAATATTGAAGCTATCAAATTGGATGGCAAAACGCGATACCGCACAATCGTTTTGTCAAACGATGGAAATCTCACGTCGGTATCTAAACCGAAGGCGATGTGCGTTGATCCTATTGACGGGCAAGTATTTTGGGTGGATGATGGAGGTTTCGGAGTGCCTCAGAAGATTGGACGTGTGAATATGGACGGTACCAATCCGCTAGTTCTCGCAAACAATATAGAACGTCCCGAAGCAATTACCATCGATATACCTAGCAAGACGCTATACGTCTCTTCTCAGAATCCGGCTTATGTTAAAGCCATGTCAACGGACGGTCTGAATGTTCGCACCATTCTTTCTGCGGCAAACAACATAGCATTGCCTAAGGCAATAGCTGTCCATGAGTCTCGTCTGTACTACCTGGATCCGCTTTACGACAAGATTGAACGTGTTGATTTGCCTAGTGGTGACAACCCAACCAAAATCATTGATAACGATTCTGAGCTTCGTACTTTAACCATTTATAAAAAACGTGCAACCGGATCTCATCCTTGTCTTATAAACAACGGTGGTTGCGAACAGCTTTGTCTGCCTGCGTCCGGAGGCACGCGCGTTTGCGCTTGCGGAATGGAATATAAAAAAGTCACGGAGACTGGATGTGAACCGTACAAGACTTTCGCGGTGGTAACTCAGCTGGATGTTGCCAGAGGTTACAGTCTCAAAGATTCCAAGGAAGCCATGGTACCCATTACTGGAGTTGGCCATCATATCCTTCATGTCGATGTACATTACGCGGGTAACTGGATATATTGGGTGGAATTCAATCGAGGCATTTGGAATGGCATTTTCAGGTAAGATAAGTACTATTGACTGCTTCTACAAACGTTAAAGTTCTTTGGCTCTATGATTTCTTCGCGAAATTAATATAGCGACAAATATTATTAATTTTTATTTATATTTTAGAATACGACCCAACGGCACGGAATTGCAACAGGTAGTTAAACAGGGAATTGGTTCCAATGGAATTCGTGGCCTAGCCGTAGACTGGATTGCAGGAAACTTATATTTCGCTAATGTTTTTCCTCATGATAACTACGTAGAAGTCTGCTGGTTGGACGGTTCCAACCGAAAGGTGCTGGTGAAGACGACGACGGACGCTCCTCGAGAGCTGGCTGTAAATCCTATCAAACGATACTTGTATTGGATCGATTACGGACAATATCCTCGAATAGGCAAAGCCTTCCTCGACGGTACCAATTGGTTCCCTATTGTGACGTCTGGTATTAGCACACCGCGCGATCTAACGATCGATCTTGCAACGCACGACGTTTATTGGGTGGACTCAAAATTAGACATCATCCAGAAAATGTCTTTCAACGGTGGAAGTCGAGAAATTATACGTAGGAATCTGCCAAATCCAATGGGCGTTGCTATCTTTGGCGGAGACGTCTACTGGGTAGATCGAAATTTGGCCACCGTTTTTAAAGCGAGCAAATTAAAGGGCAATACTAGCCTTCCTATCCCCGTTAGAACAAATCTGCAAAAGCTCAGAGACATTGCTATCTTTGATCAAAACAGTCAACCGCCGGATGCCACAAATCCTTGCTCTCAGGTATGAATTGAGATATGCATTATCTTTTTACTTAAGAAGATAAAACTACTTTTGAAAGAAGCTTAAAATTATTTTTAAAAGAATTTTTAAACTTTTTGAAGTAATAATTAGCAAAGAATAATTTTTAAACAAACTTGAAAAGGTAAATAATTCTTATTTCTTCAGGTAACAAATGGCGGATGCGCTCAACTGTGTTTCGCTTTCCCGAAAGACTATAATAGAACGTTCACTTGCGATTGCGCAGTGGGTAAACTCGCAGCCGACAATCGTAGCTGTGATACCGTTAGCGAATATCTAGTATTCGCCACGCGAACTGAGATCCGCGCCATTCATTTAGATCCGCACAACACTAACGTACCCTTCGCATCCGTTGGAAACCTGACGAATGTAGTCGGAGTGGACTTTGATTATCAGGACAAGAGGCTGTTGTTTACTCAAATTCGTCCTTGGGCGAAAATCGCGTATATGTCGTCGGATCATCCGTCCTCTTCCGAACTGCACACGCTGATCAGTAAAGGAATTAATCCCGAGGGCATTTCGTACGACTGGACTCAGAAGAAGGTATACTGGACGGATTCGTCGAACAACAGTATCTACGCAATGGACCTCGACGGATCTAACTTGGTGATGATCGCACGCGTGGACCGTCCACGCGCCATCGTCGTTGATCCTTGCAACGGTTCACTCTACTTCACCGATTGGGGTCGTTTTGGAACGTCCGGGAAGATTTTCAAAGCGACCATGGCGGGATCGCTGAAACGTGCTATTATTGACAAAGATCTTTCGCAACCGAGTGGTCTGGCGATCGATTACGAAGATCGGATGCTATATTGGACCGATGCCGTGCGCGAGAAGATCGAGCGGTCTGATCTCGAGGGGAAGAATAGAGAAATTCTGGTCAGCGCCACCATCTATCCCTTCGCTATCACCGTCCACAAGCAGCATATCTATTGGACAGATCTCCAGCTTCGTGGAGTTTACCGAGCGGAGAAGCACACTGGAGCCGATAAGATCGAGCTGGTGAAGCGATTGGAGGACTCCCCGCGAGATCTTCACGTTTTCTCCGGAGACAGACAGACATGTAGTGCTGATAACAATGCTTGCACACACAATAACGGCGGCTGCGATCAATCCTGCCATCCGGGTGCCAACTACACCTCAGAATGCAAGTGCAACGATAATAGCAGGCTGGTGAACGAAGATAGAATGTGCGTGTCAAAGAACGTCACTTGTGATGGGAACAAGTTCGCTTGTAGAAACGGCAGATGCATCTCCCGAATGTGGGCGTGCGATGGCGACGATGATTGCGGCGACGGTTCCGACGAGGACACCGATTACTGCTGTGAGTGCTACAAAGCTCATAATAAATAAAATTCAAAGCAAGTATTCTCGAAAGTACGTTTAGCTAGAATATTTGTATAAATCTTCATGTTTCAGCTCACCACTCGTGCAGTCCGAACGAATTCCGTTGCAACAACGGCCGGTGTATCTTCAAAACATGGAAGTGCGACCACGAAAACGACTGTCGGGATGGCAGTGATGAGGAGGGTTGCGTTTATCCGCCTTGTGCATCAGGAGAATTTACCTGCGCCAATCACCGCTGTATCCCGCAATCTCAGGTGTGCAACGGTATTAATGACTGTAAGGATAACGTTACGTCTGACGAAACGCATGAGCGTTGTCCTCGCAACACTACGTGTCCGTTGAATCATCTCAAGTGCGAGAAGACGAATATCTGCGTGGAGCCCTACTGGCTATGCGACGGCGACAATGATTGCGGCGACAACAGTGACGAGAATCCGATTCACTGCGCACAGAGGACCTGCCCTCAGAACAGTTTCCGATGCCCCAATCACAGGTAAAGTTCTGCGTTTGACAAATAATTTTAATAATCTAATACGGTTTTAAAATTATTTTGAAAGTTGTACATTGAAAGAAAAATATTTTGTATTTGTGACTATAATTGCATAGTAAAAAAATTATGGTTAGAAGCACTATTTTTATGGTTATTATTATAATGTTAGTAACAATAACCTTTGTATAGTCCTACCAAATATAAAAAGATTTTTATTATAAATTATAATAATTTCAAATATTAATATAACAAAATATCTAGATTATGTAAGACAAATAAAATAAATATTTTTATATATAAGTAAATGCAATTGCAATTATAGTAAGTGTAACTGTGTATTTTCTTAACATTTGCTTACTATTTATATTGTAACAATAACTAAAAAATAAGTAAACGAAAAAATAATAATATCAATCATAATGTATAACCGTAATGCATTGTTAAAGCAGTTATAATTTGCATGGTTAAATTAATTATAATTTTATAGTTGCCTCGAAATTCACTATAAATTATAGTTAAATTATGGTTAATCCATCTGTATTTTTCTCTCGGTGTAATATTTTGTGATCTTGTAACAGAAAGTTTTAAATGCATGCGTATTGCTCAGGTGCATTCCAGCTACTTGGTACTGCGATGGAGACGATGACTGCCTAGACGGAAGTGACGAGCCGCCTGGTTACTGCCAATCCGAAGGTAGAACATGTTTCGGCGATCTGTTTACATGCGACAATGGTAACTGCATTCCTAGAATTTACATTTGTGACGGAGACAACGATTGTCTGGATAACTCTGACGAAGACGAGCGTCATCAGTGCAGTAAGTTCTTCAACCATACAACATTTCATTGTCGTTCACTCGGAACTTTAATATTTATAATTTTTCCCGCATTATTACAATTCAAAGATTATCTTCTCTTATTGTCTCAAAAATTATATCCTATTATATCAAGGAGTTAATTTATTTTGTAGTTTTTCATTGTGTTTTAAGATACTTAATTAGCATTGTTATTATTAAAATTAAAAATCAATTTAATTTTTTTACTATTTCATCTTCAGTTTGCGATTGCGTTGCAAGTTCCGACATTAATCGATTTAAATAACTAAAAAATGTATTTAGAATTTACATAGAAGTATATAGGTATCAAGATCCAGTTTTAACTGTTGAAGGCGTTTCTAGATTTAATTGTGTTATTCACTTAACGATCTAGTTTTAACTTATTATTAATTTATTTTGACTAGATGACAGAAAATGCGACGAAGAAACCGAGTTTACTTGCATCGCGAACAAAATGTGGAATCGCGCCCAGTGCATCCCGAAGAAATGGTTGTGCGACGGAGATCCTGACTGCGTTGACGGGGCCGATGAGAATGTAACTTTGCATCACTGTCCGGCGCCAACCCCTTGCGCCGAAGGTCAGTTTACGTGCAACAATGGTCGGTGTCTGAACCGCAGCTGGCTGTGCGATCACGATAACGATTGCGGCGACGGCAGCGACGAGGGCAAGTTCTGTAACAGCCAATACAAGCATTGCAGCACCCAAGAGTTTACATGTCAAAATTTCAAGTGTATACGCAAGCAGTTCCGCTGTGACGGTCAAGACGATTGTGGTGATCATTCGGACGAAGTAGGATGTCGTAAGTATAATTTAATGGTTATTCTTGATAAAAAACATTCTCATGAAAGTTTCCATAATATTTTAAATATTTCACTTTTTTATATTTTTAATTAATTGTGAAGATTTCTGGAAAAATAGCTTAATTTTTTTCAGATTTTATAAACTTTTTTTTGGGAAATTATAGACTGAGAAATCTTAAAAGTATTACAAGGAAAGAGATTTAAGCGTTCTCCTTCGATTTTGATCCCCTTTGAATATGTTATTTTCTAGACAAAAATAATAGACAATTTGTTTTATATACGTGTCCTTTAGCACTTTTAAAGAATGAAACATTTCTTAGGAAAAATATCGATTATATTCTATTTTGGGACGAATATATCGTCGAAACTATGAGAGATATAAAATAATGTTTGAAATAAAAATTGAATATTTTAAAAGTACATTATAACTATGATTTAGAATAATGGTTTTTTTTTAGTATATTCCCACTACTTAACATTTTTGTTTAATTTTTCGAATTTTTTAATGATAAATTAAAAAGTTATTTTAAGACAAATTTAATCATATGTGATAAAATTATTTTTCGAAGTATCATTTTTGAGAAATGAATATGAATGTTCTATACGCTTACCATCCGTACTCGTTTATACACTCAATTCTTCACGCAGCACGTTCTGCTCGCATTTTTGCGTAATAAGAGATAACGATGAAAACAAATTTATTTCCGGCCCATATAGCACACTTTATCTGAGGAACATCCAGAGGACGTCTTGTACATCCTCAGATAAAGTGTGCTGTATGGGGGAATATTCTGCGTGCATATAATCATGGAAATTTTTATCATGCGCAGGTAGACAACACTTACGAAGCATTTGATTGTTAGCATTTGATGTAAACAAATCTATTTCGGGAACATTCTGCATAATCACGGAAATTTTTATCGCGTATGGCTAGACAACATTTATGAAATATTTGAATGAGATCATAGGGTCAAGTTTGAAAAAGCGGAAGGATGCATGTGCAACGAAAATGTGCACAATTTTTGTGATATTGTTAGTTGCATTATGTAAATGCAAAAAGTGTGAAATACATATTGCGCTTATCTTAATTACATTTATTGTTTCGTTAATTTTAAAAATAGAATTAATATCTTACAAATTCGTAAATTCTTTAATGTCGTGTTGCTTTAGTTTAAAGCCAACGAAAGGGATCAAATCACAAGAAAATTAAAGGTCAAAATTATAAAGACGATTGAAAGTAAAAAAAACAAATAGAAGACTATCGGAGTGGGATTAGACAATGATAAGCAGTAATATAAAATGCAATATAAAATGTCATATGCTATGTGAATATATGTTAGATCAGTACATCGTGACATTGTATATACAGGAACATTGTCTCGAAATTCGCAAATCAAAATATTACAACAAGAAAGTCCTCGAAAAATTAAATAAAAAAGTTATAAATATAGTAAATATTTATAAACTTTTATTTTAAGTAGTAGTTTTTGAGATATAAGAGTTTAAATTTAGCCAATTATAGATTAGTACGCGCGTGAAGTGCGCTATCAATATCACTATCAACGTGTTCATGTTTTCGTTTAACCGTGATCTGCTAAATTAAATTCAAAAACTACTGCTTAAAATAAAAATTTACTTTAAATAACTTTTTTATTTAATTTTTCGAAGACTTTCTTGCTATGATATTTTGATTCGCGAATTTCGGGACATCCTGTATATACAATGTCACGATGTACTGATTTAACATATATTTGCATAGCGACTGCATTTTATACTGCTGCTATGATCTCATTCAAATATTTCGTAAATGTTGTCTAGCCGTGCGCAGTAAAAACGTGATTACATGCATGCAGACTGTTCCTGAAATAGATTTGTTTACATCAATTTGATTTTCAATATTAACGCTCTGATTTCATTCAAATGCTTCGTAAGTGTTAGCTAGCTGCAGTGTGTGATAAAAATTTCCTTGATTATACCGATTATACGTACGCAGAATATTCCGGAAATAGATTTACTTCCATTGTTATCAAGAAACACGGTCGTGTTTTGGCGCTAAAAAATTTCCTTTTAAATTATAATTGTGAAATACTTTTAAAACTATTCAACTTTTATTTTAAACATTTTTTTATCTCTCATAGTTTCGATAATATTTGCTCCGAAATAAATAATTAATTTTCTTTTCTAAGGGATGTTTCACGAGTTAAAAGTGTGAAGAGACACGATATGTAAGAAAATCTGTCTCTTATTTTTGTTTAAAAAACAACATATTCAAGCTTGTGAAAATCGGGAGGCAACACTTCGGTTTCTTTCCTTGTTTTAGAATATTTTAGAATTTATAGATAGTACATAAGAATTCTAAAAAAAGATGTAAACTTTCTCAACATTTCTAAAAAGCGTTTTTGTATGAAAAATTTGAGAGATTTTCTAAAAAGTTATAAAATTATATAGATATTTTAAAAATTCTGAAATTTACATAAAAGTTTAAAAATAATTATATGAAGAATTCTAAGAAAGATTAGAAATACTAAAATATGTGAGAAATATAATTAATCCTCCGATTCAAGTTGTATGAAGAAAGGTGAAAATATTTAATTTTAAGTGTGTCCAAACATGCATTTAATTGTTCTTACAATCTCTTTCTTGGTACGATATGAAATATTATTGAAATCGACAAAAACGTTAATTCTTTTAGCGTCCAGAGGAAAGAACACGACGTGCCCGAATCCGAAGGACTTCATGTGCGCCAACGGCAACTGCATTGATTCGCAGCTGGTGTGCAACAAGGAGCCGGACTGCGCCGACGAGAGCGACGAGCCGCCGCACTGCAACGTGGACGAGTGCGCCCGTGTTGAGACGAACCAGTGCGGGCACAAATGCGTGGATACGCCGACTAGCTTCTACTGCGAGTGCAACCACGGCTACAAGCTGCTGGCCGATGGCAAGGCCTGCGACGACATTGACGAGTGCATCGAGACGCCCCAGGTATGCAGCCAACAATGCGAGAACACGCCTGGCGGTTATTACTGCAAGTGCAACGAGCGCTGGTACGAGAGGGAAGCCGACGAGCATACGTGCAAGCGACGAGACAACATTCAGCCGTGGATCGTGTTCACGAACAAGTATTACGTTAGGAACATGTCGATTGACGCGTCCAACTACAGTCTGATGCATCAAGATCTGGTCAACGTCGTTGCGCTTGATGCGGATTACGGTCAGCAGATGCTATACTTCTGCGACGTCACCGCGAAAACAATATACAGGTATATTACGTGTGCTTTTTAATGCTGATTCCTGATAAACAAAATTCTCATTACTTTGCATAATACATATTTTTTTAAGAATTTTTGCCTTAAATTTATGAAGATTTCTGATGAATACCTTAAACTTCTTCAGATTTTGTAAGTTTTCTTTGAAACCTATAGCATGAGAAGTCTTAGAATATATTTCAAGATTCACATATATGCATAAGGAATTCTGGAAATGATGACTTTCTCAATATTTCTAAAAAGTATTTTAATTTATATGAGAAATCTGAGAAATTTTCTAAAAAGTCATAAAAAATTATAGTATACGGGAATTCTGAAAAACTTTAAAATTTAGAATAGAATAGAAATTCTGTAAAATTATATGAAGATTGAAATGAAGAAAAAATTTTTCGACAGGGATATTTTTCTTTCTAATTGTAAACTGGAGGAGCTATTTGATTTAAATTCTCTATTTCTCTATCTAAATTTTATCATTTCTCTGTTTCTCTATTATAGAGCACCAGTGAACGGCGGCGAGAGGGAACCAATTATCCGTCACGACAGTTTAGGACTTGAGGGTATTGCTATCGATTGGGTTGGTCGGAAATTGTATTGGTTGGATCGTCATGCAAAGCATTTGGACGTTGCCGAGCTTGATGGCACGAACAGGAAGACTTTGCTGACCGGAATATCGGATCCACGTGCGATCGCGGTACATCCCGGTACCGGATACCTGTACTTTACGTCCTGGCATCTTCAGGTGGATTTCATTGAGCATTACTAGCAGTTTCTTCCTGAATAATTGTATTGTATAAGCAAAATTATTATAAAGTTACGAAGGCTTAATCGTGAATCACGGATCTAAATTCCAGGCGTACATTGGTAAGATGGGCATGGACGGTAGCAACTTCACTCAAATTCTGACGTGGCAGGATGACATCGCCTGGCCGAACGCCCTGACAATCGATTACTTCACCGATCGCATCTTCTGGGCGGACGCCCATCTGGATTACATCGCCTTCGCCGATCTCGAGGGCCACAATCGGCGGATCGTCCTGTCCGGCGCTACTGTGCCACATGTCTTTGCCATCACTGTATTTGACGACTTTATTTACTGGACCGATTGGAATCTAAAAGCGATCAGCCGGGCGGAGAAATTCTCCGGAGCGCGTCTACAAGTGTTACGCAACACCACTCACCGACCCTACGACATCCATGCCTATCACCCTCTTCGGCAGTTACCCTACAACAATCCCTGCGCGGAGAACAACGGCGGTTGCTCGCATCTCTGCCTCATTGCACCGCCTGCTAGTTCGTACTTGCTCGAAGGATACGGCCAGCCTGGAGTCACCTCCTACAAATGTACGTGCCCGAATCAATTTATTCTGGACAAGGACAGCAAGACATGCATAGCGAACTGCACTGCGGGCCAGCATCGTTGCGGACCACCCGACGAGAAGTGCATCCCTTGGTACTGGAGGTACGATATGTTTAGATTGAGTAACATTTTTTCTTTTATCGAACAACTGATAAAGGAATTATAATGGAAATTGTATGCACAGATGCGACGGAGAAAAGGATTGCAAGGACGGTTCTGACGAGTCGTCAAGTTGCCCGAAGAGGATCTGCCGACCAAGCCTATTCCAGTGCGCAAACGGAAATTGTACACCGAGCGTGACGATTTGCGACGGAATTGACGACTGCGGTGACAAAAGCGACGAAGCCAAGTGTGCGCTCGAATGCGGAGAGCTCGAGTTCAAATGCAAGTCCAACGGCCGCTGCGTACACGACTCCTGGAAATGTGATGGAGATGCCGACTGTAAAGACGGCAGCGATGAAGATCCTTCCATTTGTCGTAAGTATCTAGTAGCTATTTATATTTATTTAAAAAAATTTTTGTTTGAATTTTTTATATAATTTTTTAGAATTTTTCAAAATTCTTCTGTTAATTTAATAACTTTTTAGAAAATTTCTCAGATTTTCTTTATACAAATTAAAACACTATAAAAATGTGGAAAAAGTACATCTTTTTTAGAATTATTTTTATATATGAATTCTAAAATATTCTTAGATTTTTTATTCTACAATTTCCGAAGGAAACTTATATATAATTTATAACTAAAAATTTAAGATATTTTTTTTAGAAATCTTTGTAAATTAAAAATATGAAAAATTCTTAAAATTGATTTGAGGTATGAAAATTTTTTTCACTAGCAATGATGTTTTTTTTACCGCATCCGTATAGCTTTTCTTCAGCTTCGCAAAATACGAATTTTGCCGAATTGAATATATTTTAGCTGAACATATTTGTATTTTTATTTACTTTAACTTGTGTAATCTATATTACTATTCAGGCAACCGTGCCTGCGATCAGAGCACCGAGTTCAGTTGCAAGAACGGCAAGTGCATTCCCAAGCTGTGGATGTGCGACTCCGATAACGATTGCGGCGACGACAGCGACGAGCCGGCGTACATGTGTCGGCAAAGGAACTGCACGACCGGGTGGCAGCGGTGTCCGGGACACGCAAACTACCGATGCATTCCGAAGTGGCTGTTTTGCGACGGCAAGGACGATTGCCGCGACGGTTCCGACGAGCGTCCGGAGAACTGTCCGAAGTGCGATCCCACCATGGACTTTAGATGTGCCAATAACCGGTGCGTACCGAAGCAGTGGCTGTGCGATTTCGCCGACGATTGCGGGGACGGTAGCGACGAGATAGAGGCGATGTGCAAGGGCAAGTATCGCCAGTGCTCCGAGTCCGAGTTCAAATGCAAAAATGGCAAGTGCATCGCGTCCAGATGGAGATGCGACAGCGAGGACGATTGCGGCGACAATAGCGACGAGGAGCAATGCCATCAATGGGTGTGCAAGGTCTGTAAATAGGCTGATTATAGTTTTGTTACGGCATTGTCATGTCACATTTTATGTAATCCCCATACTTGTTGCAGAACGAGAGCTTCCAATGCGCCAGCGGTCATTGCATTGCGTCATACCTGCGTTGCGACGGAGCGCGAGACTGTCGCGACATGAGCGATGAACTCAACTGCCCGCCGAGATACCCGGGAGGAAGATACTGCCCACAATCGCGATTCCAATGTAACAACAATCTTTGCGTCTCGCTGAACGACATCTGCGACGGCACCGACGACTGCGGTGACAATTCTGACGAAAGTCCTACCATGTGTGGTGAGTTTACTGCTGATATCTTGATCAGGACTGGGCAAAATATATCATTAAAGTATTTGAAATACAAAATACTGGCAATCTTAGTATTTGAATTACAAAATATAAAATACTTTGAATCTTTCGATTTAAAATGCAAAATACTTTTTAATTTAATCTTTCAATGACAATAATATATAATGTTAAACGCCCCCCTCCAACAGTCCCCTCTTCACTTTTAGAGAGAGAAAGAAAAGTTGTTTTACTCTCTTGCATTTTTTAACAGTCCTATTGTCTTGTATCAACCGCACGAGAAATCTTATTTACTAATGTGAGATTATGAAATTTGACTCTGATGACTTGATATTGCTTGAAACTTGACGAAAATAATTAGTGTCGCTAATTGTCATATGAGAAAAATTCAAGTTACTATATGTATTAATTTTGTCAAGAATTTTTATCAATAATTTCTTTAGTATTTCAAATACAAAATAAATAATAAATAAATTATAATTAAAATTGTATTTGAAATACAAAATACTTTTATGTGCTCCGCTGAAATACAAATTGTATTTCAAATACTGTATTTCAAATACAGTATTTGAAATTTGCCCAGCCTTGATCTTGATTCCTTTCCTACATAGAACAGAACATTCCAGCAACATTCGGCAATATTGCTGGAATATTGCCGGAATGTTCTGCGGGTTGTAACGAGAAAATAAAAAATAATATAAATAACATTGTTGTATCTTTGCGTAGCAAACTTCCAGTGTGATACACACAGACGGTTCCAGTGCGCCAATCATAAGTGTATAGCCAGATACCAACTGTGCGACGGGATCGACAACTGCGGCGACGGTTCCGATGAGAACAACATGACGATGTGCGTGAAGCAGACTCGTCCGTGCGACCTGACGGAATACACCTGCGCGAACAAGAAATGTATCGACCATCTGAAACTTTGCGATCTCGCGGACGATTGCGGGGATCTGTCGGACGAGTTGGGATGCCGTGAGTTTTTATTCCCGTCTTCTTCGCTTTCGCGTTCCACGGTCGGAAATTATTGAACAAACTGTTTTTCAGATCACAGTCAGCACTGTTCGGACAATAATCGGGGCGGTTGTGCACACGACTGCCACAATCTCGTTGACGGTGGCTACATCTGCACTTGTTATCCCGGTTACATAATCTCGCCGGATAATCGGAAACACTGCGTGGACGTTGATGAGTGTCAGACCGGTAACCATCAGTGCTCTCACATCTGCACGAACTTAAACGGCACATACGCTTGCTCTTGCCGGGAAGGTTTCCAATTGTCGGACACATACAGTGGCGTGTGCCGCGCCGAAGACAACAACATTGTCGTGCTATTTGCAAACGGGCCCGAACTGCGAGCCTACGACCTGCGCACCAGGGAAGAGATGGACGTGATAGACAATGAAAAGAGAGTGCAGGCCATTGATTTTGATCCCAGGTCAGAATACGTATTTTGGATTGACTCGTACGACAACACTATTAAACGGTCCTACATGGTAAATGCCAAAGAAGGAGAAGCAAAGATTGGACACGCGCAGGACCTCAATATGAAGAGTATGTATCATTTAATTCTACAATTGATTATGTTTTATTGAAATAATATGTGTTCTCAGTTTCTTAAAAAATTTAATTCCTTAATCTTTATCTAAGGTTTAGATTCTTTCAACAATAGCACCATAAATTTTTTGATCTTTGCAACTTTAAATCTTTAAATTTCTATATTTTTGTATCACACGAAGCAACTTTTTAACGCTTCTTTTTAACCCTTATACGAGCACATAAATATGTGTTATCTATTTTACGAGATGATCTATACAATAGAAAACATTTTATACTTGTGTTAAAAACGATCCTTGTTAAAATGTTTGTGTTCAATTTCTAACATACCCCCGAATATTAATTTAATATAATGTGATTATGTTATTTTGTATTAAATTGATATTTAACATTTTTTGTTAAAATAACACAATTTATGAGTAAATAAATAACATAAAAATAATAATATAATTTAAAAATGTAAATTTTAAAATAAATAAATAAAAGACGAACATGTTAATATAACTTATTATGAATGCTAATTTCACTGAAACGCTTTCATAATTTGTTTCCAAATTGTGTCAAAGTTCTGTGTTAATTTTTACATAATGTTTATGTTACTTTCCAACACTAACACATTTATTTTATGTTAAATTAACAAAAATTTGAATGGACCGTTTGGAACACATAAAATGTGTTAACTTTAATACAACTTTCCCAACTATGTATGAAATATTAATTACTAATGTTTTACTAATAATATTAATTTTTACAGCTGACTCCAGGCCAACGAGTTTAGCGGTGGATTGGATTTCCGGTAATTTGTATTGGAGTGAAATCGATCAATCGGGAACTACTCCTCGCGGTCAAATTATGGTGTCTAAATCGGACGGCAGGTATCGACGTAGCTTAATTACAACGAATCTCGAACAACCAACAGCAGTGGTCGTGGATCCCGAGCGTGGGGAGGTTGTATGGGCCGACTCGGGTAATCAACCGAAAATCGAGATAGCCTGGATGGACGGAGCTAGGCGCAAATCACTCGTGTCGGAACGAATCGCCAGTCCTTCGTCGCTTACCATCGATTATGCTATGGAGCACACGCTTTATTGGTCCGACAACAAGTTGGACACCATCGAGGCGATCAGTTTGGCGGGTACCAACAGGAGAGTTGTTTTGAAGGGCAGACCGCTCAGGAATCCAATAGCACTGGACGTTTTTGAGAACAATCTTTATTGGACCACTAAGCAAACGGGTGAACTTGTTCGTCAGGACAAATTCGGCCGAGGAGTTCCCCAGACTATCGTCAGGAATCTCCCTAGTCCTGGTGGCGTTAGAGTCTATCATCAGCTGAGATACAACACCAGTCTAAGAGATCCGTGTCATAACGATCAGTGCACTCATCTGTGCGTAACAATTCCTGGCGGCCACCGCTGTCTCTGCTCGGACAGCGTTGGTCCCTTCCAGCGTCTGATGAGGGACGACAACGAGAGGCATTGCGATGCCACGAATGAGAGGCCTCTGCCGGAGCCTAGGGTATGTCGCTGCCAGAACGGCGGACGGTGTCAAGAGGTGGACGACAAGCTGGCGTGTAACTGTCGTGAAGACTTCCACGGCGAATTCTGCGAAACAGCGGCGGTCGCCGCTCGGGCAGGCGGATCAACCGCTGCTATAGTTATTCCCATAGTCATATGCCTGTTGGTGTTGTTCTGCGCTGCTGCGATCTTCATGGTTCTTAAGAAGCGACCATTGTAAGTATGATATTTACAAAATTTTACAATAACGCAGAATAAAGACGATCTTCTTTATTGAACTTGTTTTGTTGTTCATAGTGGCAAGCCTGGTGGTCTTGGCAGTCTCACAGGTGCCCAGAGTGTTTCCTTCCGCCAAGGCAGCAATGTAGAGTTTGGTGCAGAAGCTCACGAAAGAATGGTAAGGCCCTCGCTTGCGTCGATTTAAATCTATCGTTTTAGATAAATTATGTATCAGTGTAATAAATTAATATGCTTTATTCTAATATTATTGTGCCTCTATGCCTGTCCTAATTATCATCGATTATTGTGTTTACAGGAACCTCTTGACGTGGAGTATAACTTGAACGATGTTAGTAATAAGAACCGAGACTTTAGTAACCCAATGTACGATGCGGTGAACATGGAGAGCGGTACCACGAACGGTACCGGCGCCGGCAGTATGTACGAGATGCCGGCGGAGATGAAGCCCTCCAGCATACAGCACAAAGAGCCCCCGCAACTGCATCTGAAGAGGAGAGAACTGGACCCCACGCCCATCGACTCGGGAAAGGATACTCAACAACTGGTCGAGGAGGACAAGTCCGAGTGCTAGGATTACAATTCCCATTTAGGAACTCCTTCGGATCTGTTGTGCTTCGAACTTGAAAATGCAGGGTGGAGACGTTTCCACGAGCCTGCGAAGAAATACATAGAGACACGAACGTAAATTAGTTAATCAGTTTTACGTAAACAGTGCGGATTACACTTCGCAACTGCTCGTGTGCGTTATTTATTAAGCTATTCACCGAGACGTTTCTAACATGTGGCAATTAATTCGAGATTTTGTCTTATCCAGTGATCCACGAATATAAGAGTATCGGGATCTCTGGATTTCTGTGAAGAAGAGGATATCAGGATTATAAATTGTCATATAGACATAAAGGAAGAGAAGAGAGAGAGTCTTTGACGCACGGTTTTATAAAAGTTTTGACGAAAATTTCACAGATTTTAATTAGATCTTTAGATTCGGAAATAGAATATTTTAGGACATCGCCTTTTGACATTTTTGAAAAAATAAAATAAAAAAAAAAATATTTTTATGTAGCAGTCATAAGTCAACTTCGCGTATCCTCAAATCTAAGAAGCTCGACGTGTTTAGGTTTTTAATTTTCTGCATCCTCTAGATCTATGAGAATTTCTGACCACAGATTCTCATAAATCTCTAGATTCCTTCCAGCCAGGAATTGTGAACTGGCTTTAGGATCTTAAAATTTCGGAAAGTATAGAACGGCCGCGAGATGACAACGGTCACCAGATAAATCGATGGTATCGATTTCACGAGGAAAGGGGAAAGGGAGAGAATAGGGCGAAAGCAAATTGCAATAGGCACGATCGTGTCATTTTTTACTAGGTGTGTGATTTGTAAGTCTTGTAAATATAATTGCTAACAAAGTATAATGTTCATGTTATCCGTGTACCATAAAAGACGCAACACATTCCATTCTTTCTCAAGGTTGCTGCTTGAAGTGTAACGATAACAGCGGGACACTTTCAATAGCTAGGATGTGTATGTATATGTGTGTGTATGCGTGCACGTGCGTGTAGTGCTCGAATTGGTACACTCAGTCCGTAAATAATTCTTTTCACCACACACCCGCCTTATATTTCTGTGTTTTTCAAACATTTAACAATTTGCATTGTAACGATACGGAGAAATTATGTTGCAAAAGAAAACAATTTATTTAACTCGAGTCCAAAACATTTTAGGAGGCTCAAATAAAATTTGTAAAAATTCGATAACTCTAACAATTTGAGTACGTTTCGCTTGTTTTTGCTGTACAATTTGAGCACTTATAGCGTACGCGTGAAATTTATTCTCAACTGCAATATGACGGGATCAAATTTGACTTCGATAGAGGTTTGTAAAGCTCAAAGATATTGACCAATATCTTATTATTATATTTAGTTTAATTCAATATTCTTCATTACACTTCTTCTCTTCGTGTATTATAAAATAAAGCAATGAGAGATTTAGTATTACCTCTATAACAGCCATTGATTTTAATGAGAATTCAATGGCAGAAAATGTTCTCGGGGTTGAAGATGATCCTGCTAACTAAACTACAGTAGTTGAGCGTTAACGATGCACGTACGTCCGTTTAAAAAAAAAGCTGTATTCTTAGCGGAAGTATTTTTGTAAGGCGTGGCGTTATATAGTTTTTTATGTTGAAAAGTGGCCTTTTTCTTGTTACGATGAGTCGAGGCGTGCAATGCTCGAGGAGCGAGACAGATATGTTTCACGCATGAGCGTTATTAAATGTTATTCTTGCGAATGTTACTACGGAGCACAATCGATTTTACGACAGAACGAAACGTCTCCTGCGCAGCGAAAACATTGTGCTTTCGGAACATTGTGCCCGGCCGACGTTATTGTACATTTTTCTAGATTTTGTGAGGTACTCCTCCTGCAAAAGATAGCTGTATTAAAAGGAATCGACGACAATTCGTTCTATGAGTTTAACTTCCCGAGCTTCGAAATCAGAGATTTATTTCAATAACAATAGTTTTGCATACCTTTCTATTCTTCCTACTATTCCTGGACAGTTAGCACTGCGTTTCTCCAACGATTTCCTCTCTTCCGCTACTTACGTAATAATGGCAAACAAACGAAATCTACATATTTTAATTTGCATTAAAATATGTTTAATATATTTTTAATCCCTGGTTTAAATGAAATATTGATTAAAGTTATTGATTTTGCTAAAAAGTCTAAAACTAAAAGGTATTTAAGCTAGCACTAATTATTTTAATTCTAATCCTGAGGGAGATGATCAATGTAAATCGAGCGTCAGTTAATTCCTTTTAATGCATATATTTTTTACAGGGTCAGTAAGCGTAATTCTTCTTCCGTGCAAATTATGATTAATGTAACATCTTTGAATCGTTAATAATTCAGTAATGCAACTTCTAGTCTTGAGAAAATAATAAATTTATTAAATTCAATCCTCAAGACTTTTTAGGTTTTCTTCATTTTATATCGTAATTTCAAAATGAAGTGTCCTTTATTCTATGAATAAAGTGTCTTAAATTCTGTAAATAAATAATTTAAACACATAGATTTTGAAGAAGAAGCGCTCTCGGCAAAATGATCAATCTAGAATACAAGAATATTATTTATAATTTAATTTGTGCCTTGGTAAAGAGATTGAGAGATCAACGTGAACACGTTGTACATACACGTATCGCGAAAACTAGGGGAGGAGAATTATCAATGCTGACCCATCCTCCACACAGATTATTATACATAAAAGAGTATATAAATAAATATAAATATATATATATTTTTTTGTTGCAATCGACTTTGACCTGGGCAGGGCTCCAGAGTGTCCTAATATTATTACGATATATCAGTATTTTGTGTATTTTTTTATCAAGTTGACAAAATAACAATTGTTAATATATTGTGCAAAAATATCAAACAGATACCGTCCAAGAATAAACTGTAAAATTGACAATTCAGTATTCCCTATGCCCATGCAATATCAAATGCACGTGCGTTTCACCCTTTGTGCCCGACTATGTAAATTATATTTTTTTATGAGTACAATAGCCGTTTCCTTTCTAATTTTATGTGATTTCTATTCCACCGATATCTTT